GTGAAGAGCGCCGGGCATCCGCTCTCGCCCTCTCACTTTGGTGAAAAACACCTCCGCCACATGAAGGCAGTGAGTAGGACTTCCTCAGGAGAGGCTATGTAAGACGCCCGGTCATATGGGAGCATTTCGAGAGGTGTGCGGAGGGGTGGCCAACCCGCAGCGCAAGGCATCCACCCCCGATCATCCTGAGGCTTTGGACTTAGCAATTGATTCCCAGTTTGAAAATTTTTTATGATCAATTGATTCCTCTATTTCCTGCCTCTATAGATGACTAAAGCTCATTGAAGTCTAAATTTGTCGATGTAGCACATTAATTCTGTAAGTAAAGTCGGAAAGAAAAAGCAGCATTTTGACCTCGACCCGTTTCAAAGCCCTAAAAGAATTGCGTAACAGATCTGATATCCAAATGAATTCTAGATATTAACGCATGTCAATTCTCATTTCTTTATGTGTTTAACTGCGGGGCCTGAAAGTTCACTGCCAATGCCAAGAATATCGGATATGCAGGGTAGATTGTGCATCTATTTATATTCTATTTCTGTTTAGTGTGTGTTGTTAAGCAAGCTGCTCCACTGACAGATACAGTCCCGGAACAACTCATTAAGACATTGCTTCTCACGTCGTGAAACAATCTATGAGCATCCCTGTTGGCAAACCTAGATCGAGAATATCTAATCGGAGACTCTTGCACATAGGAAACAATCTACCCTGCCTCATGGAAACGAGATCCTGACTGCTAATCCACTTCCCACTGCATGAAACACCGCTTCCAGCAATCTCTGATAAGGTTACCAAGCCATCCACGGCTATACGTTAACCGTGAGTCACAAGTTAACCGGTCCCAGTCCCCTGAGGCCCCGTACCTCACATTAAGCTCAACAGGATTTTTCTGCTCATTCGTTCAAGCTGAGTAGCTAGGCGCGAATGTTGTTCATGCTTGCGACAGATCTTATCTCGGGCCCAGATACCTGATTGCCCTCTCCGGAGATCGCCGTGTGGAGGCGTCTACCTCGCGCTACTCATCTCTTGGTTTCCGCCATTACCTATACCCAGGTGAGTTTCTTCACGTCGATACTCAGAGTACTGGACGTAATGTTGTCACTCCACTGAAATGGCAAGGTAGCCAAACCGAGGCAATTGGCTTATATATATATATAGGGATGCCAATATTAGAAAAGTATACGATGGTCACAGAGTGTCCCTGGTTTGGACGACCGACGAGACCATAATTGGCAACAGGTGAGCTTCAAATGAAGCGACGGATGAAATAGATGACGAAGCGCTTACTCCGAATAAATCCTAAATAACAAGTATCAATTCTTACCTCGTTTTATTCAATATTGTTCAATAAAACAGGCGGATGGAATGGACGTATCCGAATCCCGGGTGTACATACATTCGACACCCTATCGAACAGTTGGTTACCGCCTGCTTTGAATGAACCCTTACTGACTGGATTTCCTCAAGGAGCTGGTTTATCCGCCCATTCAGCACAAGTGATCCGTTCATCAGTGGATAAAAATGAATTTTCAGCAATTATTATTGGTCGAGAAGGTTCATTAAGAATACAAAGAAAAGCTGGTAATATTTATTTACTTTATGGTAAGTGGATATACTGTTTTATTTTTACTCTTACTATCCTAGTGCTTAGAAGTATTGTGGCTTGTACTACTGATAAGATTTTATCAGTAGTATATGCAAAGAGATGTTCATTGGCACAAAAATATCAAACAGCGGAAAGACAGATTTGACTTCAAAGAGGGGGAGAAGAAACCAGTAACCAGAAGAGAAGACAAAGAAAGACAATACGAAGGAAGGGCATTAACAGCACAGCAACATGGAAGATCTGAGAGAATGACGATTTTCATGTAGGGTCTACATAATTGCCCTACATTATTATTATTATTGTTATCATTATTATTATTATTATTGTTCCATTGGGTTCCGAGTGAAACATAGGGCTTCAACTACACATCTCCATTTTGTTCTATTTTCTGCCGTCCACTTCAGCTGGGTCCAGGGTTGCCCATAATCCCTCATCTCTTCTTCACACGATCTCCTCCATGTCACCCTAGGATGACCCACTCGTCACTTCCCATTTGGATTCCAATCGAGCGGTGGCCTGTATTGCGCGCGATGTCATTTGACGGTCTCCTCAGTGGCGTTTGCCCAATCCATCTCCATTTCCTCCTATATATTTGTTGAGCGATCGGTTCTTGGTTGATTTGTCCCCATAGTTTATTGTTGCTAATTCTTCCATATTAGTTTGTTTATTAGATGTATCACACAGTTTGCGAAACAGTATTATTTACTGGATGACAAAGTTTCGAACAAAATTCATTGTTCATAATCATATCAATTATAATCACACGACTTCGAAACTTGAGTATTATATTTTTCTTTGTCCTCTCCTATTTGTTGTAAGGGTAGAAGAATTTTCCAGATATCTGGCCGGACAGGTGTTGAATCATTCCTGTTACATGTATCTGCAGTTGATTCGATAAACAAAGCTTCTGTTATCAATCTCTCCCTCCACCATGCTGTTACATTAGATTTTAAAACTGTCATCCTATCCCATCCTATTGTGTGGTTGTGTGTAATTGCATGTAGTGAGTGATATAGCTGAACTATTCTCCAGATTTCTTATCTTATTCGGGTCAACCAATCTAGATTTTGCTGATAGGTTTTTATGCTCGGCTAGTCTGACTGCCCCTGTTCTACTAGTTTGACCTATGTATTTGACCTGACAATCATTGCAGGCAGGGTATTAGATAAACTAAATTGTTTTGTTTTAAAGGCTCTACAGGATTGATCCTTTAACCGACAAAGCTTGTTTCTAATTGAGTTTGTGGTTGGTTTGAATGCCAGCCACTTTTATTCCTGCCTTGTTAAGAATTCTGCGTAAGGTTTCCGAGGTTCCTTCCTTGTATGGAATTACTACTGATGATTTAGATTTCTTATTGTTGGTGTTGTCATTATCCTGTGCATGTTTGACATGCATGTCTTCATTAATATTATTATTATCACTATCGCTACTATCATTATTTATTTTATTTTCACATTTCCCTACATATTTCGTGACTAATTTATCAGGGTAGTTATTAAGTTTCAAGGCTTCTCTTATATGTATCACTTCCTGTCTTAGATTTTCCTTGGTACTACTTAGTTTTTGTGTTCTGTCATTTAAACATTTCACCAATCCTATTTTTACTGACATAGGATGGGATGATCAGAAGTCCAAATATCTTTTTGAATGTATGGGTTTCCTGTAAACACTAGTGTTTACCTTCCCATCTTCTTACCTCTTTACACTGCAATCTAACATTGGAAGCTCTCCTTCCTGACTTTCCAATTCATAAGTGAATTGAACTGCTTCCACCTTTGAGTTAATGTGTTCGAAAAATCTATCTATATCTTTTGTTCTGAGTACAGTGAATGTATCATCTACATACCTCCACCATACTTTTGGGGTGGGGGTGAACGTCTCAGTCGTTATGTTGCTAATTCTTTCTGGCCATTTGATTTTCAGTTTGGAGCCAACGAAGGTAGTTGTTGATGGGAAGTCTGCGACAGGCTGTTGGAAATCCTTTTCTTTACATTCCAAATTTCTGACCCGTATAGAAGGACCGACTTGACATTTGTGTTGACATTCCGAATCTTGTTGTGTATGCTGAGTGCAGAAGATTTCCAAACTGCTTTCAGATTGATGAAGGTGTATGTTGCCTTCCCGATTATGACTTTGACATGTTCATCTGTTCCGCCGGCCTGCGGTTGATACGATACTTCCTAGATAAGTGAAGGAGGTAACCTCTCTTAAATCATTCCCGTTGATGGTGATTGGAATTACCCCAATATAGAGATATCAAAATTCCCAAGTAAACATTCCGTTACAGTATGATATTAAGGCAATGCGTGAGTGGTTTGGGGGAAGAATGTCTGTCAGCCACTCTTCATGAGGTTTGAGGTTCGATTCCCGGCTGGTAGACTCCTTAACCTCACCTAGTCTGTAGTGAGCCTGGGAAAAAGGGAAGGTTAGGCATCAGACTACCAACTCCACCCAGTAACAGCATCATAAGCACTACTGAAACTTTTAAGGTTGAATAAAACTATGTACTACTGATTGGTTGATATAAGTAGTAGGTGTATACCGCATCACTCATATCAACCAGTAGTGCTTACCAACTAGCCAGGTCAAGATGCGATCTAAACACGACAGGATGGTCGTCTCGCTTGTTTGAGGACGAACTCCTCATCAGCGGTATACTCGGTCACCTGAGCTGATTTAAACCGGCCAAGTACACCGATGATGGGGAAATCGACCCCAAACGAGTGAAACAGCCGTCATGTGGCGTTTAGATCACGGATGAGATGAATTAAAGTCTAAATATCTATGATAATGCGTGTGCAGTCTACCTTCTTCTATTCGTTTTATTTTACAATCTAACACCATAGATAATTCTTCTTGTTCATTTTCCGATTCAAATGTGAATTTTATTCTCTCTACTAGTGAGTTTACATGTGTAAAGAAGCTAGAGATTTGTTCTTTTTTTAACACTGTGAAAGTGTCATTCACATATCTCCACCATATTTTTGGAGTAGGATTAAATGTATTAAGAGCAATATTTTCCCTACTGGCTGTCCATAACTATATATCTGCTACGATAGGGAATATTGATGATCCATCCCATTGCTACACCTTCTGCTTGTCTATATATTTTACTCTGGAATTTAAAGATAGTAGATGTGAGACACAAATGAATTCCTAAAATAATTTCCCCAATGGACAGCTTTATCCTATGAGTGAGTTCAGTATCTGCAATTAGTTCTGTTTTAATTGAGTCTAAGGCTAACATATTGATTGATATATTCAAGTATTGGTTTGTAGGGATTTGGGTGATTGGTTAGAGGATTTCATCATGAGCTGACATTGGTTAGAGAACCATTGGAAAACCAGCCGCAGGGAGTGCTGGACAGCTGTTTCTTCAACCTAGTTTGGGACTCTTCATCAGTACGCACCCACCATAGAGGTTCGAACCCAGGACCTTCTGGTTACAAGGCGAGCTAACTCGTAGACCATGCATCAGCCACTGGGACCCGATCCAATGACCCATGAATTCTCACTTCTGCCATTTCACTCACGACATAGCGCAACCGCTAGCCAATGTCTTCGGCGAGTATTTGTCCTCACACCCGACCTGCTGCACCCTACTGGTCACGACTTCCCAGGTAACTACCTATCTGAATAGGGCCAGTCGCCAGTGAGCATCTCATTGATATTCAAGTATTGGTTTGTAGGGATTTGGTTGATTGGTTACAGCTAGCACTATCAAGATATCATCCTGCTCTGACAAGGAAACCTGTATATTTTTATATATTTTACTTCTGTACGTCCCGAGTGGAACGTTTTAGTAGCAGTGGAATTTTTTTGTTTTTACGTGGCGGAGTTGCTAGCCTCACGCCCAACCTACCTTCTTTACCGGCTTCACTACCGGCTTACCGACGTTTGGGAGTATGCCGGTCGAGGGCTACTTGCACTTTACCACCGCAGAGCCATCAACACACGCAAAGAAACTAAAATGTCGAACCATGGTGAACTTCAGTAATATACAAGTCGAAGTTTCAAATGTTATCAATACACATATCTTGACCACTATAATGGTAGTGTATACTCTTATTCCTCATAACCTTTTTGTTTAAACTATGTCAAAAGCGTATTTATTATTGCACCAAAGAAAAACACAACAATTGATTGGTATATTCGTGTAAATAATAATGATAATAATTTGCTTTATTCCAGAAACAGTACTAGTGGTACAGTGTGGAATTTTCAGCACATATCTACAATATTTGCATCTAATTTTATCAAACATTTAAAAGGAGTATTTCAAAAAAAATAAATATAAAGACACCAACAGCAAAAAGAACAACAGGAAAAACACAAAATAATTTTTTAAAAAGTGCGAAAAAATATCAAGAAGTAGAAAGGAAAATAAACATCATATAATCATAACTCAGTATTGGGTAGTGGAAGCTATGATATGATTATGCAGGGTGACAGTACAGCTATAGTCATACAAGAAGTTATGAAATGATATTTAAGAAAGTTTATCGCCAAGATGATCAGTTAATTTAGGTTGAAACAACTCTAAACAATCATAAAATAACATTTCAGGGTTGTTGTTTTGATTTTTATTGTCAGGTCTAATGCAGTGTTTGTAGTGGTGTAGTGTGAGTAATCCTGAATAATACAAAATTTTTTAAGGTGGTGCCTTTGGCGTTCACAACCAATGATTGTCAGTTTAATAATGCCGAAAAGTATAGAAAATAAGAAAAAACAACGACAAAACTAATAAATACATGATGGTTAATGACAGGACAATTTTGTAATACTCATAGTGCTAATAGAGTCGGAACCAGTGGATGCACAATAGAAGTAATATAGTAAAGTACAAAAAAGGAAGCCAATGCTAATAATTTAAGTAGCTGAGTATGTTTGAGAAGGAGTTCACTATAGAATACAAAATAAGAGAGAAATAAAAGAGCCTAAAATCATTTTATTAACAAGAAAGCAAGTTATAGGTTTCACGCCTAACATTGTGTCTGTCGCTTAGCACACGAGCCAAGTATGGTATCGTTGAGTTCCTGTACTTGGTTGTACGAGCATAGATTATTTTATACTGATTTCTGGTTCTACCTGATGAGATACAAGGCGAGAGTTTGGAATAGAGGGGGTGTTGGGGGTCGGAGAGTATGGTTTTTGACCATTTTTCGCATGTATTCAGATGCCTATCAACTAAAGTAGTGACGAGCTGACTGAGATTTACACCACTAGTCCTACTAACTACCTTCAACATCCTTCTCAGGATGGTATATTCCTTTTTCAGTAGACTAGGAAAGACTAACGGGGAGCAGTAAAGTAGAATAGGTAAGATACAAGAGTTGACAAATTGTAAAAGTAGAGGTTGGGTGATTCCAGATTGTCTAAGTTTCTTAATGCAGTAGTAGGTAAGACAGAACACTTTCTTAGAAATTGTTAGGATATGAGATGTCCAAGTAAGGTCGGAAGATAGAACTAGACCGAAGTATTCTTGCATTAGACTTAGTTTCAATTTTAGTCCCCTCAATGCAACAGTCTTCGTGAGTACTTACTAGTGTGTTTGTAGATCTCGTTTATGCCTAAAGGAGAAGTTAATAGTTTGGCATTTTGAGGGATTCAGCATGAGACCATTTAGTTTGGACCACTCACTGATGTAAAGACTAGTTATATCAAAAACTAGCCATTTTTCCCCGTCCTCTCTTATTCTTTAATTGAGCTACTGAAACTTTAAAGGTTGAATAAAACTATGTACTACTGATTGGTTGATATAAGTAGTAGGTGTATACCGCATCACTCATATCAACCAGTAGTGCTTACCAACTAGCCAGGTCAAGGTGTGATTTAAACACCACAGGATGGCCGTCTCGCTCGTTTTAGGCCGAACTCCTCATTAGCGATATACTCGGTTCATGGTATGACCAGTTCGACTGAAAATCAGGTGTGGTTTGAACTGATTCGGCCACCTCAGCTAATTTAAACCTGCCAAGTACACCAATGATGGGAAGCTCGACCCCAGACGAGTGAAACAGCCGGCATGTGGCGCTTAGATCATTGGACGAGATGAATTAAAGTCTAAATATCTATGATAATGCGTGTACAGTCTACCTTCTTCTATTTGTTTTATTTCACAATCTGACATCATTGCTAATTCTTCTTGTTCATTTTCTGATTCAAAAATGTGAATTTTATTCCCATTTAATAATGAGTTTATGTGTAGGAAGAAGCTAGAGATATGTTCTGTTTCTAACACTATGTATGAAAGTGTCATCGACATATCTCCACCATATTTTTGGTGTAGGATTAAATGTATTAAAAGCAAAATTTTCCTTACTGGCTGTCCATAAATATATCTGCTACGATAGGGAATATTGATGATCCCATTGCTACAACTTCTGTTTATCTATATATTTTGCCTTGGAATTTAAAGATAGTAGATGTGAGGCATAATTGAATCCCTAAAATAATTTCCCCAATGGACAGCTTTATCCTATGAGTAAGTTCAAGATCTGCAGTTAGTTCTGTTTTAATTGTTTCTAAGGCTGCCAATATTGATTGATATATTCGTGTAAATACTAGTTATGTGGTGAGAGCTGGCTGCTATCCAAATTGGTAGACAGTAATTTACGTCAATGTCTACGGCAGTGTATTGGTGGTTGAGAAAAATATGAACAAAGACTGATTCAATAACCAATCACAGCACACTTTGTTTGCGTAGGCGGATACAACTTGCAGATAGATAATCTGAACTTCAATAAACGGCCACAAAGAGATTAAAGATTAACGTTCAACGAGAAGACTGCGTTTGTTTGCTTACAATAATCTAGAATAATGTACATGAAAATCTATAAATATATGTTGATTTCCTTAATAAACGATCTGTTGCCTGGCCCTTGCCTTCTGTCGTTACACTAGTACTGGATAGCTGTTTCTCCTTGGTTTGGAGCTTATCAGAAGCATGCACCTGTCCACCATGGATGGAAGCCAGGACCTTCCGGTTACATGGCAAGCTTGCAGATCATTCAACTACCGGAACCCGACTGAATGGCCAGCTTCTACCAATTTGTGATTTATGATGACTGGCACTAGCTAGTGTCATCCGTGCTGAATATTTGTTCTCACTGTGAATAGGGTGGACCCCACTAATTGGTCACGACGTCTGACACTTGGAACTCCGGTCAACTTCATCCTGTAGCTAGTCACTAGAGGCAGTTAGATTAATTTTATAGAGAGTTACTTTTCGTTATATCCTTAGAATACCTCAATAATGTATGAGAGTAGTCTTTACACGAATATACTGACTGGCCTAATTACACTGCAGTGAATAAAACAGTAAAGAAGAGTGCTAGAAAAGACAAACGACAATTTAACAACATACTGGCAACTGAAGTAGAACAGGCAGGCCTCAGGTAAAAGAGACCTAAGGGGAAAACTAGCCATTTCCCCCTCCCCCAATTATTCTCTAATTGAATCTCATTCACTTTCCTTTTCATTTCATTATTATTATTATTATTGTATCCTTGAATTCCTACAGGAACATAGGACTTCAGCCGTGCGTCTCCATTGCGTTCTGTTCTCTGCTAGAGTCTTCACCTGGCTCCATGTCTGCCCACACGTTTTCATCTCCTCATCACATGACCTCCTCCAAGTCACCCACTCTTGCACTGACGACCAACTCGCCGCTTCCCTTTCGGGTTCAACTCGAGCAATGGCTTGTCTAGTGATGTCACTTGATGGTTTCCTCAGAGTATGGCCAACCAATCCATCTCCATTTCTTCCTGCCTATTTGTTTCACAATCGGTTCCTGGTTGGTTTGCTTATTGCCAGAGATCTCTGTTGCTGATCTTTTCTGGCTGGTCATCTGATCTTGAGTATTGAGCGAAGACAACTGTTAATGAAGGTTTGTAGTTTGTTTGAGATGCTCTTTATGACGCCCAGTGCAAGTTTCTGATCAGTATAGCAAGTACCACTGACTTCACATTGGAGTTGAAAATCCGGATCTTATTTTTGATGCTGAGTGTTGTTGACCTCCACACAGACTTGGGAGTAGTGAAAGCTTGTCTTGCTTTTCCGATTCTTGCTTTGATATCCTCGTCAATTCCGCCTGCCTGTAGTTGAAACGATGCTTCCAGGTTGGTAGGTAGGTAGGTAAAAGAGGTTGTTTCTTTCAGGTTTCTTCCATTTATGCTGGCTGATTGTTGTCAGTTGTTGTTGTTGTTGCTGTTGGTAGTGTTGGCCAGGAATTTTCATCACCTAACTCTGTTTTCTCTATGTTCACCTGAAGTCCTATCTTCTCCGGATGCTTCTTCTGCCAACTTGTTGCTTTTCGCTTGCATATCTTCCAGTTTGTGGGAAATCAGACATATATCATCGGCGAAGTCCAGATCCTCCAAGTTTTTTGTGTGTGTCCATTTTAGGCCTGTTTCCTCATTACCCGCTGTTTGTCGCATTATCCAGTCTACTGCAATCAGGAAAATCATTGTTGTTTTTTGTTTGTTTTCACTAGGTTATCTGTTAGATGAAGACCTGCCTACAAGACGAATGAAATTTGTATACTGCGAAGCAGATTCAAGTTTAACTGCCTCATCGAGAAGTTATCATACATCTACAGCTATCTCGCCGTCTACACTTGTTACTATTGGCGGTTGTAAATCAAATTCAATCGATATATTAAAATGGAAAGTGGAAAAAGGTCGAAAAAAGGATCACCTCTTCTCCTTAAATTGGCCTGGTTCACTTGATTATCCTTTAACCTCATGTACTATTGTGACAAAGTTTATTCAAGATATGGAAAAGCAAAACGTCAAACTAACTCCGCTTGCACCATCTAATCAAAAGTAAGTTCATGGTTGTGAGACCTGGCCATTGAGAGTGGAAGATAAGAAAAGATTAGCTGTCTTTGATCATAGATGTCTGCGTTCTATCTCCCGTGTGAAGTGGTATAATAAAGTGAGCAATATTGAGGTTAGGCACCGGTCGAGTGCTAGGTAGGTGGAAGGGGAAATCAATCGACGAAGCTGTGAAATTACATCGACTGAGATGGTTAGGACATGTGTTACGTATGCCTAGTCATCGCCTTCCCCGCCGACGAGCAATGTTAGCTGATATAGGGTCAGGCTGGAAAAGAGCTAGCCAGTGGTGGTCAAACCAAAACATGGCTTCACCAGTCAATGGAATCTACAACAGTTAGTCTCAGCCACGTAGGAAGGTGTAGACTTCTGACTGGTTGGTGTCCTCGGGACGGTAAAAACCAATGGTTGGAAACAATTAGTGACATGGCTCAAAATCGTTCTCAATGGCTGGCGCAGATGCATCCACTCCTTGTGACTTATGATTTCCAATGAAACTATATTGTTCTTAGTTATTACTATTCCTTTGTCTCACACCTCTGTTTACTGTCTGTATTATGCATTTCTCCTACTTTCTTCTCTTGCTTTGTGTGCTACATGGAGTGTGGCGACTTGAACTGCCGCACATATGTGCAAAGTTCTATGTCGGAAACAGACAGACAGACAAAAGTTCATGTTTAATCGCCATCCAGCGATGAATGAAAATAAAACATGTGTGGTGATGTCAAGAATATTATTATTGTTCCTTTGGGTTCCGAGTGGAATATATGAGGCTTCAACAGCACATCTCTACTCTGTCATATTCTATTCACAGTGTTCTCTTTAGCTGTCCCCCACTATTGCCTATAGGGCCTTCATCCATCTCCTCCCTATCACACGATCTCCTACATCTCACCCTCGGATTCACCTCCAATTCGTCGCCCCCTTTTGGGATTCCAGTGGAGTGCCTATCGTACAACATCATCCGACAGTCTCCTTAGAATATGTTCGATCCATCTCCATTGGTTTCGGCATATTTCTTGAGCAATGGGTGTTAGTGATGGTTTTACTCCCCCCTCAGTTTCTTGTTTGTATTTGTTTTCGATGCCGCTTTGTTAGGTGATTCAGGACTCTTGTTTTTGTACTGAGGTACTAGTGGCAACAATCGATGATTGTTGATTTGAATCGTTGTAACTCATCGTTAGATGTTGGAACCAGATCACTGGTTTGGCTAATTCAATTTTCAATTTTCGGCTAATTACAAACTCTCCTTTGAACTACGTGTTTTGTTCTTACTAACGTCTGGCTGTGGATTATTTATGAATTAAAAGAGAGCAAGAATCTCTAGACAGTCAAGGAACTTAATGGGTAGCTTGCTGTAGTGAACGTGAAAGTTGATTTTTTCGAGGATTGTGTCAACAATCATGAATATTTTCAAGTATTGGTTTTGTAGGAATTTTGTTTGATTGGATGGAAGATTTCATCATGAGCTGACATCGGTTAGAGAAACACTGGAAAACTAGCTGCAAGAACTGGACAGCTATTTCGTCCTGGTTTGAAACTCTTCATCAGTAAGGACCCATCACCAGTACCTTCTGGTTACAAGGCGAGCTAGCTCGTAGACCATTCATCAGCCACTGAAACCCGATCCAATGACCGATGAATCCTAACTTCTGCCAATTCATGACATATCGCGACCATTTCGCGATGTCTTCTTCGATGAGTAGCTGCCTCATCTTCAACCTGCTGTAACCCAGTTGTCACAGCTTCCCACTGTAACCCCAGGTCACTACCTGAATAGGGCCAGTCACTAGTGACCATCAGATTGATTTTCAAGTATTGGTTTTGTAGGGATTTTGTTTGACTGGATAGATGGTCTACGAGCTAGATATCCTTGTAACCAGAAGGTCCTGGGTTCGAAACCAGTGTGGTGGGTGCATACCGTGAAGAGTCCCAAACTAGTCTGACGAAGCAGCTGCCCAGTACTCCCAGGATTTCCAGTGTTTCTCTAACCGATGTCAGCTCATGATGAAATCTTCCATCCAATCAAACAAAATTCCTACAAAACCAATACTTGAAAATATTCATGATTGTTGACACAATCCTCGAAAAAATCAACTTTCACGTTCACTACAGCAAGCTACCCATTAAGTTCCTTGACTGTCTAGAGATTCTTGCTCTCTTTTAATTCATAAATAATCCACAGCCAGACGTTAGTAAGAACAAAACACGTAGTTCAAAGGAGAGTTTGTAATTAGCCGAAAATTGAAAATTGAATTAGCCAAACCAGTGATCTGGTTCCAACATCTAACGATGAGTTACAACGATTCAAATCAACAATCATCGATCGTTGCCACTAGTACCTCAGTACAAAAGCTTATTCATTCCAGCTATTCGATCTTCAGTATGGAATCAAAGAAAGAGGCAGCTGTTGATAAAATTCTGCAATCTGTTTGAAATGCTCTTCGTGACACACTGACCAAGTTTCTGATCCATAAAGAAGGACTGACTGACTGACTTAAAATTGATGTTGAAAATCCGAATTTTGTTGTTTATGTTGCGGAGTGCAGGAGATTTTCAAACTAATTTCAGAGTGATGAAGGTGTTGCTTATTATTATTATATTATTATTTGTTTCCTAGAGGAACATAAGGCTTCAGTCGTACGTTTCCATTGCGTTCGGTTCTCTGCCAGCGTTTTCACCTGGTTCCACATCTGCCCACATGCTTTCATCTCCTCTTCACATGACCTCCTCCATGTCACCCTTGCACTGACGACCAACTCGCCGTTTCCCCTTTCGGGTTCCACTCCAGCGATAGCCTGGCGTGTGATGTCACTTGATGATTTTCTCAGAGTACGGCCAATCCACCTCCATTTCTTCCTGCAGATTTGTTGCACAGTTGGTTCTTGCTGGGTTGGTTTGCTTATTGCCATAGATCCCTGTTGCTGATCTTTTCTGGCCGGCCATCTGATCTTGACTAATACTGAGCGAAGATAGCTGTTGATGAAGGTCTGTAGTTTGATTGAGGTGCTCCTCATGATGCGCCAAGTCTCTGATCCGTGTAGGAAGAAGCACTGACTTCACATTGGAGTTGAAAATCCGGATCTTATTTTTCATGCTGAGTGCTGAGTGTTGATTTCCACACAGACTTGAGAGAAATGAAAGCTTGCCTTGCTTTCCCAATCCTCGCTTTTATATCCTCATTAGTTCCGTCTGGCTGTAGTTGAAACGATGCTTCCCAGGTAAGTAGGTCGGTAGGTAAAGGAGGTCGCTTCTTTCAGATTTCTCCTATTCATGCCGATTGTTGTCTGTTGTTGTTGCTGTTGGCCAGGAATATTCATCACCTTGCCTTTGCGATTCTGGTTCTGATGTCCTCATCTGTGTTACCCACCTGTAGTTGAGGGGATTCTGCCTAGATAAGTGAAGGAAGTGATCTCATTCAAATTTCTCTCATTGATAGTGATTGGTGTTTGATATTGTTGTTATTGTTGGTCGATGGTTATTTTCATCACCTTCGTCTCCACTATGTTCACCTGAAGTCTTGTATTTGCTGTCTGCCTCTTCTGTCGACTTGTTGGTTTTTGCCTGTAAGTTTTCGATTTTTATGTATGGCATAAGACATAAATCGTCCGCGAAGTTGGCCCAACGTATTCCTGTCTTCTCACTTCCCTTTCAAGGGGTTCAACATGATTCATCATCCATAATTGTGAATATCATCGTGAGTCGTAGTAGGCAGCGTCCTCATCTTACTATTGTCTTCACTTCGAAGGCTTCTTCGCTGAGTTTTCTTTTGTGGATCACTCGACGCATGGCGCTGTCATATATACAGCTGTTAAATGAGAGTGGTAAAGATTAGTAGTTTGTTCATTCAAGGCTACCTGACCGATAGCTTGCTAACTTCACGTGGCAGTCGCGTTTGGATATTGATTGCAATAACCCAACCAGCTACACTGACTACAGCTGGTGTTCTCGTGCAGGTCCTACAATTCCAGAAAGGTTGCCTGCATAGCGGTGAAGGTAAAAGCAGTCAATATCATAGTGGAAGTCGTTTACACTATGTTGGGGGATGGGGTTGTGGGAGAAGTCGTACTCTTAACGAATAGGCATGTGTAGTAGTAGTAGTAGTAAAGTGTTTCCCTTATATGACAAACAAGCCAGTTACGCTACCTGTTTGCTCTGGAGAGTTGAGATTAAAAAAATATCTAGAACTATATACTACTGGTTGATTCAGAATAGTAGTAGTTATATACCGCTCATATCAACAACCAGTACTGCTTCCCCCAGTTTACCAGATCTTGAGGAGATCTAAATCGAGTGGTTTGAACTGATTCGGCTGCCTGATCTGAGTCAAACTGGGTACATTGCTGCTGCTGCTGACGAGGAGCTTGGCCTCAAATGAGCGAAACGGCCGTCATGGGGTGTTTAGATCACATCAATCTGGTTGGTTGGCAAGTATCACTAGCTGATATGGGTGGTATAAAACTACTACTGATCTCAGCAAATCAATCAGTAGTATATAGATAGTTTTATGCAAATTTGCTTGCTTTCTTGATTACCATTTATGACAGAATTAAGCAGATCACATATGGTGGTGATCGGAATAATTTCACTTGTCAAACTGTGTAAATTGCAAATTGCTAATCAATTTTAGCCATTGAATCAAGTTCCAGCTAGCTCGTATTGTAACCGGCAGGTCCTGGGTCCGAACTCCTCTGGTGGTGGGTACGTACTGATGAAGAGTCCCCAAAAAGGAGGACGAAACAGTTGTGTGTGTGTGCAGGACTACTCTCAGCTGGTGTTTCCCTAGTATCTCTCTAACTGATATCCAACTCGTTATCAAACCTGTAACCACCAATCAAATTCCCCCGCTTAAACTAACATTTAAATTGTTAATATGAGTTAGGAACTGTCAACTGTGAAATTTTGTAGGCGGTTCATAGGCCGGTGGTAAGATCTTAGTCGGGGTACAACTCAAATAGAAAAAATCACTTCAAACATAAATCTGTGCAGTAAATAATCCAAAGTTTTTTTTCAGATTGGCTGATGGTGACTAGCGGAAGTGGAATGCACGAGGATACGCATTTCGTCCCAATTGGAACTCGTCAGCCAGTGGATGTGCCTACATTCCCAAGTGTGTTGGGAGTGGTGGTGTTTCTCTCACTGAGGTTCAAACCTCCAGTAGCCATCGTTTCAAACGCCAAAGTGTTATCCACTAGACCACTTGAGACCAAGCACTTCGGTTCAATCAATAGACGGGAAAATCTAAAATTCAGTTAAATAACTAATAAGACCCGTTGCACAACAGATGGCTCTCGTGGTCCAGTGAGTAACGCCTTGGAGTTTGAAACAATGGCTACTGGGGGTTTGAGCCTCATTAAGGGAAACATCACCACTCACTACACACTAGGGAATGGCAGTACATCCACTGGCTGACGAGTTCCAATTAGTACGAAATGCGCATCCGCGTGCATTCCACTATTGTTAGTCACCATCTATCCACCAAATTACTTTAAGTTAATCATCCTCAGACATTGTTGAAGCATCTGCTGGAGGAGTTAACATGTCAACCTGACACCGAGCACTTCGGTCCAGTCAATCGACTGAGAAATCTAAAACTGAACTAAAGTTATTTCAGATTGTCATCTAACCATCAAGAATTACAGTGTTGAGTGTTGCTTTCACATTTTCATTTTTTCCTGCTGCATCCTTTTTTTGGCATCTAATACAGTGGATGGCGTGGTCATTGTATAGTCCCGGGTGTCGGTGGTTTATTTATTGGTACAGGCGAGGGTTATAATGCTTTGAAAAATGAACCATTAAATTCAGCTTATCTATTAAAATACAGCGAAAATGGTAGTAAACCGATCATTTATGAGTGAGTTGTAATCATTGCTAAATCATTATTTTTTAATCTTTAAGTGTCTTTCATTCTCCGTAAATTTATAATTTATTTCATTTCGGTGAGGGGGCGTTAGGTAAATTATTATTACTATTATTGTTCCTTTGGGTTCCTAGTGGAACATAGGGCTTCAACTGCACGCCTCCACTTGCTTCTGTCTTCTGCTGTACTTTTCACCTGCATCTATGTTAGTTCATACTGTTTCAACTCTTCTTCACACGATCTCCTCCATGTCACCCTTAGACGTCCCACTCGCCGCTTCCGTTTCGGGTTCCACTCGAACGATGACTTGACGCGCGATGTCACCCAGCGGCCTCCTCAGCGAGTGTCCAATCCATCTCCACTTTCTCCTGCATATTTGTTGGGCGATTGGTTCTTGTTTTCTTTCTTGTTGGTGATTGTTTCCGGCCATCTGATCTTCAGTATAGAGCGAAGAAGACAGTTGCTGATGAAGGTCTGCAACAGGCTGTTGGAAATATTCTTTGTGACCCGCCAAGTTTCTGATCCGTACGTATAGAAGAGCTGACTTGACGTTTGTATTGAAAATCCGGATTTTGTTGTTGATGTTGTGGAATGACGAAGATTTCCAGATTGGTTTAAGGTTGATGAATGTGTTTCTCGCCTTCCCGATTCTCGATTTGACATCCTCGTCCGTCCGTTCCTCCTGTAGTTGAGAAAATGCTCCCTAGATAAGTGAATGAAGTAACCTCTTTCAAATCCCTCCCGTTGATGGTGATTGGTGGTGGATGTTGCTATTGTTGTTGTTGGTTGATTATTTTCATAACCTCCATCTTGTCTATGTTCACCTGGAGTCCTGTCTTTGCTGCCAGCCTCTTCAACCAGTTTGTCGGTTTTCGCTTGTAAGTCTTCGATTTTGTGTGACATCAAACATAAGTAATCCGTGAAATCCAGGTCTTCTAGGTTCTTCACTCGGGTCCAGGATTTCTCTATCTTCTCGTTTCCCACTGTCTGACGCATAATCCAGTCCACCACAATTAGGTTAATAGGGTAAGTTAATCGATAAAGTTGTCGGCTGGAGAAGTCGGGTAGGGGAGGAATATTAAGCATCCACTGTAAGAAAGTTTGGGATTATCCGAGCTTTAATTCTCGGAATCCTAGAGGCTCGCCGTTTTGAAGCGTTTCCGACTGATGCAGACGTCTCTTCACTCTTGGGTATATTCAAAGCTCTAAACATTTTGACTAATTTCCATTAGTGGGAAACACCCACAAGGACATTAGAAAGAGGAGAACACAAAGTTCAGTAAAGATGGCGATCTTTTCAGCGATTTCATTTTCACAAGCAACTGTACAATCGCACTCAAAAACATAGTTTTACATGGATACATAATTACAACGGCGAATAAAAGGTGACAATTATTTTCAACTAGATCTGGTTTACGAGAGGCTTAGAAACAGAATTAACACAGGATTAGAACGGATAACAAGTGTGTAAGAAATGAGCATGGAAACAAAATTGAAATAATAATTCTAACTTGAAATGGAAGTTAGGAAGTGTGAATATAGATTACGAGAGCCTTAGAAACACGAAATTTGCCCAGGATTAAGATATAATTGTAAAATAGTTATTTTGAAACGAATTATAAATGTGAGTAGGAAGAGCATGGAAACAAACTTGAAATAACTTTTTATAACTGAAAAAATGGAGTGAAGCGAATGAAGACAGAGGGAGTAAGAATTACACACACAGCGAACGAAGAAAGATCCAAAAAAAAATCAGAAGCTAAGGGAACATACCGAACTAGGTCCATGGTAGTTGTAGAGGTTGGACTAATTTCTTCTGAACGCACAGCTCCGGCTTCTCGATGCATATTGCGAGGGCTTCTGCAGTATAGAGAAGTCAGAAACATACTGCTTTTGGTAGGTTTCTGTTGACTTTGTAAATTACTTTGAAAGAATCAATTGAGATGTTGTGGGAGGTGTTGATCAGATGTTCAATAATGGCACTTCTGATTGTTTCTAAGGCTCTTGTAATCTATATTCACACCTCCTAACTTCCATTTCAAGTTAGAATTATTATTTCAATTTTGTTTCCATGCTCATTTTTTACACACTTGTTATCCGTTCTAATCCTGTATTAATTTTGTTTCTAAGCCTCTCGTAAACCAGATCTAGTTGAAAATAATTGTCACCTTTTATTCGCCGTTGTAATTATGTATCCATGTAAAACTATGTTTTTGAATGCGATTGTACAGCTGCTTTTGAAAATGAAATCGCTGAAAAGATCGCCATCTTTGCTGAACTTCGTGTTCTCTTCCCTCTAATTTCCATTCATCAGCCATATCACCAAGTGTTTCCGATTGTTGATTGTTTACAAATTAGTGGTCTCATGTCAGGCGACCCATACCTTGGAATGCACTCAACAAGTATTTTCCCATGAATATATGGTGTTGTTTTTTCACCTGGTTTCGCAACCTCGGCATGATAAACTGTTCCAAAGTGATCATTCATTGATAATCAAGCGTTGGTTTGTAGGGATTTGATTGATTGGTTACAGGATTTCATCATGAGGTGACATTGGTTAGAGAACCATTGGAAAACCAGCTAGGAGTACCCA